ATAATCACACCAAAATCTTCATTAATTTTATTCAAATCTCTAGAAGTAGGAATTAAAACATTAGAAGATGACTGAGAGAAACCAGAACTACTTCCAACATCATCATTTAAATGTGGACGCTCTAGAATATTCATATCTTCTTCACTTATTTATGACAAGAATTAACATTAAATATTGTGTAAAAAATAGTTATATATTATATAATATAGACATGTTAGTAAGTAAGAACCTTCATTATCTCTCTCAAAAGCTGATGGAGCTACACCATTTTCATTATGCATAGCACTTTCCAAATTAGTGACATCATTAGCATTAAACTTTGGAGTTTGTTTCTTATTCTTCTTCAGCAATCCAAAGTCCAATTTGTCAATAGATTCATAATCGATAGGATCAAAACTTGTCTTTTTCTTCAATTGGATCCTTTAATGAGATCAAAAAAATTAAATACAAGTATATACCTACCATAAAATAGCAATAAAATGGATTCATTCAAAACAAGCTCCACTCACAACGAGAAGAAGAAAAAGTTTGGCTAAGAATACACATTGCAAGATTTTTGCAATTCTGGAACAAACTTTCATAGAATGATCATCATTCATATGCAAATAAAAGACAATTAGTTATATGTTATATGACAAATGAAATTACCATGACCATGTTTAAATATTTACACTTTTAAGGGTTTAGTTTCTGTGCTACTTTATGACATGAAACTTTATCAAAAGATTCTTTATGATCACGATACAAGTTCAACTACTTTATTATCACAATATAATCAACATCTTCATTTTTAGTTACTCAAACAGTGAAAGCATTGTATCCATTAACCTTCTCTTGTGAACAAAGTCATCATTATACAAGAAGGTAGCGTTCAATAATATGCTGTTGCATGAAGATTGGTCTTCAAGTACTTATCCCATTAGGCTTGAATAATATCTGTATAAGGCTTATATTGATCTTTCTTATTGTGGACGACTGCCTTAATTGCTTTTTTTGCCTTTGCATGCCTTCATAAACATAAGGCAAAGAAGGCTTCTCATCTAAATCAAAAATTCTCAATAACTTTATGAGAGGAGACACAATCTTCACACACTTCAAAACATTCATTCCAAAATGATTATCTAATATGATGGCACTAACAATTATTTCGGCTTCGGTCCTTAATAATTTATGATCTACAAAATGCTTATCAGTAATTTAAAGCTTGCAAGCCATACTTGTGCATATATATGCTATGCAATGTGATAAATGTTATAGCTAACTTTGCCGCACCTGGATGCACAATTTCTTTTCAAACCCTTTCTTTTCCTGAGCCATGACAAGAAGACCATATGATAATAAACAACACAATGATCTTTGATGCCTTTGTTGTAAGTTAGACATGCTTGTAATGTCTTTCTCAAAGTGAGATTCACAATAAACAGCACAATGTAACCAATAAAACAATACTTTTATATTTCTCTTTAATCAACTTGCCATATGTTACATAATTAGCAGCATTATCAGTTATCATATGCACAATATTTTTAGAACCAACCCACTCAATCACTTCAGAAAATAATGAGATAAAGTCTTGGCTTCTTTCATTAAATTAAAAAGCATCAACAGATTTCACAATAATATGCCATATGCCATATGTAGAATAAACAAGAAAATTTATCAAAGTTTGTTGCATCACATTTGTCCAACTATCAGCCATGAGTATATATCCATAGGTTTTCCATTTAAATCGATAATTCTCAATAAGAAGCTGATATTCTTTTTTCCAATCATTCAATAAGTTGACTCTAGATTCATAAGCATTATGACCTTTAAAACCCGGCCCAATTGAAGCAATAGCATCCATAGCTTTTTAAAAGAAAAGGCAATTTAATGTATTAAATAGAATATGATTGATGATAGCCCATTCAGCAATGACCATCTTTTGCATCATGTTGTGCTTCTTTAGTCATAAATACACTCTTGATCCTAGTTAGGAACTCGGAGTTGTCTTAGAGAAAAAATAATTTTCAACTAAAATAGTATGAGGTTTCTTTTTACTGGAACTACTCTTAGGGATTGACTTAGATGGAGTAAGAGCATTTAGTTCCATAGCATTAGATACATATTCCCCCATGTCTGCTTGTACATCAGCAAGTTTTCTTTTCTTCAAACTTTTCAAAGATTCTTGCATTTGATGACGAACATCGTAAGGAACTTTGCTACAAAAAACTACATTTCCAAATATACCAGCAAGATAATGCTTCAATCTATTTATTCCATCTCCTTTATAACTTAATGCACAATAAAGACATGTATACACATTTTTGTTGTCCTATTTTCTTAAGTTAACATGTACCCATGCAGAATCTTTTTTCCCAAAATTGATGGGGTCCCAGATGTTGAGTCATTATGACTATAGCAAGGGGATTATTGGAATTGAGGGTGGGATTCTCAGTTCCATTACTACTAGGATTACTTCCAATATCCATGATATAACTTTGATCTGCAAGCTACAATAATTTCAATACAAATAAACATTTGGGTTTGATGCAGAGGGAATATGTTCAAATAATCAAACTTAGTTCCAACACCATTCCAACAATTAATATAAGATAAATCAGTACAATAGTATATCATCTAACGGAAACTTCGTAATCTCAAATAATGACAGTGGAATGACAACCATTAACTTATCAATCACATTTAATATATTTAAGGATTCTCACCCGTTCATTAAATTTAATCCAAATGTGAATCACTTGATCTCCTATTAAAATTGTATAAGTATATGCATGCCATCTCATTTATACGCATCAAGTGACTAAAATATTATCATAAGCAAAGCAAGTAAATCGAATGAACATGTCTTTGGAAGCAAACATACTAAGATGGTGATATAGACCAAGTAATCGAATCAATGACCATACTAAATCAACACATACTAGGATAATGCATTCAAACTACTAGGATTATCAGATACAGAGCAACACCAACATGCCAACACCTAAATCGAGTAGGGAGGGAGGGAGAGAAGAAGAAGATACACATGAAGCTGGGAGGGACCGAGGGAGGGAGAGCGAGAATTGGTGCGAGTATGCGATAAGATACACTTAAGAAGAAGAAGAGACACCTAAAGCTCAATGATGAAAGATCGATAAGAAACAAGTGCAATTGTACAAGAAGCCAAGAATGAAGGGTAGAAGATGAGGTCAAAGACGAAAGCTGAGAGTGAAGGGTGGAAGATAGAGAATGAGAGATTGCGAGTAGAATCTGTAAGTGAGAGGCAGAAAACTAAGAGATCAAGACTTGAATTTTAGCTTTAGGGCATCTACATTTCAACATTTAAGGTTCAGCCATTTTCTAACTTTCTAGGTTTCTTTTTTTTTTTAATTTTTTTTATTCTAACCCTAAAAATGACATCATTTTGAGGGTCAAAATTTGAAAAATATATCAACTTGCCCAACCAGCTTGACCCGTGGGGTTGGACGAGTTGATCCTAATTAACATCGGGTCGCCCGGGTTAACCCGAGTCACTTAGTTCCCCTTCAAATAGCAAAATTAGATTGAAAAGGCGACTAGGTAGTCGGTCCGATCCAGTTTTCAATATCATGATCTTTACTCGTAAAAATTATATATGATTTTATAGTTATACCAAATATATTTTTAAATCTCATATCTATTTTTAATTTATTTTCACATTCATATCTATTTTCATTTTTATCAATATTTTTTTCATTATATCAAACAGGATCTCTAAAAACTTAAAAAAAATTTGGAAAATTCACTTGCGTTGGGCTGTGATTCTGACAACTGTGGTTTCCCCATCCCCTCCGTCAGATATCCATTTTTATAAAAATATTTATTGAAATTCTAAATTTTAGAAAATAAATAATAAAACTCAAATGTAACGGTTTTTGTACTATTGGTTGACGGCAATGACACCACTTCCCCCACCCCCCCCAAGATTAATATATATGACTGTTATCACACACACACACACACACAGATATATATATATATATATATATAAATAAAATTCATACCGACCACACGATTCTTTGTTCATATTATTATTAGCAACTGTATTTAGTATATAATAAAAATAAAAATTACAATAAAATAAGTCGGTCAAGAAAATAATAAGTTGGTAACAATATTTTTTTTATTACAGAAAACGCATTTATAATTCTAATTATATACATACACGTACAAACACTCCACCTCCGGTGAATAGTATAGACTGTCTGTAAAAATTTCAACACTCTAGATTTAATGTATTTTATTTTTTTATTTTACATTTTTAAAATAAAAATTATAAAAAATGGTAAAATATTTAATAAATCTATTTGTCAGTTTAAATAGTTAAGGTTTAATATGAATAACTCATATTTAATATTAAAATTTTTATAAATTTACTATACAAATATATTTTGAATGGTGCAAATTTAATATTAATTTTTTTATTTTTTTATATTAAATGTGAATTATTCGTATTAAATTCTGGCTGGACAAATTTATTAAATTTTTTATAATTTATATAATCTTTTTATTTATAAAATGTAAAATATAAATAATAAAAAATATTAAATACCGAATTAAATCTGAATATTTTGTGGGAGGTGGCTTCCTCAAGGAGGGAAGCGAACTCCCAAACACTCATGGAAAAGGAAGACGGGAGTTTTGGAAGGAGACATGAAAATGGTGTGGGGTCGTGGGATAAAATTGATGGGTAGGCCCGGAGGTACTATCTGCGTGTGCCGAATTTCCTTCTCTTGGCCTCATCGACTCTGCATGCCGGCCGATTTGACACAGATTTGGCGCCTTTCGCTATGCCACTCACTAACTAACAAAACAAATTCATGACGGATTCATGCACATCTCACTTGCCACACCGGTTGATCAATCCCATTCTTCCTCTCACCGTCTTCTCCTCTACCATCCGGAAAGCCACAACAACCCTTTCAAGGTTATATGTATAACCGGCTCATGTCTCCGATAATCCATCCGGTGGTTCCGCATTTTACTTGAATTTTGCATCTCTGTTTTGCATGGTTTTTCTGAATGCATATTCAATATTGGCTCTGTAGTTTCAGATTTGTACTTAAATAACGCAACCTCATCAGCTTCATCCTGGTTCGCGAATATTTATTAAAATCAAATGAGTTAACCGGCGTGTACTGTGTCTTTAAAATTGACGAACCTCGACGCCTTTATAAGGAAGGGATGGAGTTGACATGGAAGCGTGCTATATTGAGATTTTTCCAAGGTTTTAAGGACTTAGGTAATCATGATTTACATCATATATACTCTCAGTCTGCTGATAAGCGTTACTTTTTCAGGGGTCGAATATTCAGGCTTTGCATGTGAAAGGAAGGCATCAGCACGTTCAATGGGAAGTCCTTTACGCAGGTCTGAATGTGCGGCAGCGGGTGTTTGTTTCCATAGCATGAGCTTCTTTCTCTACAATCTTCTTTGAGATCACGCAAAATAGAAGAAACAAAGGAAAATTTCATTGACTTTTCCCTTCAATTTCTATTTGTCCTGCAGTGGAAATTCCAGAAAGTCTAATGAGACAATGAAGTTCACTGTAACAGTTTTTCTTGGAGTTGTTTTTGGCTTCCTTCTGGGAATTTCGTTTCCAACACTCTCATTAGCTAAGGTGTATAATCTTCCACAACAATGTTATGTTTATTTTAATAGCAGGTCAAGTGTGCCTGCCAGAATTAACAGTTTTTGTTTAATGTCTAATTGTTAGATAACTCTCCGATCTGGCCTTTTCCCATCAATTGATCTCACAAAGATTGAGGACGACGGTTATTCACGTATTTCAACCGAAGGAATTTGGGATGCGTGGGCTTCTTTTAGCGGTGACAGAAGCATTTTTAATGGAATTCAAAAATATGACGAGGCCAATGTATTATTCTCTGCTCTAGTTTGATGGTTTTTCTGCGGTGCAAAGGTTTAAGGGCTGTTCAAAGTTATTGAGCTCATGATTAACTGGATACACTTGATTATGATGCAGATATGGGTTCCCACAAATCCTCGAGGGGCTGAAAGGTTACCCCCTGATATAGTCAAATCTGAGTCAGATCTTTATCTTCGTCGATTATGGGGTCAGCCCGTGGAGGTGTGTATCTTCAATTCTTCTTCTTCTTCTTGTTTTTGTTTTTGATAACAGGAGGTGTGCATATTCTATCATGCCTTTGATTCAGCAGTGAGATTTTCCCTGTGATTATGAGTTACACTTTTTTCTCCTCTTTAATGTCTCTTCTGATGGACGTGACAGGACCTAGCCATCGAAACAAGGTATCTTGTAACTTTCACTGTTGGTTATGATCAGAAAGACAATATTGATGCCGCAGTGAAAAAGGTTATTTCAGATTCTGCCCTGCTTCAACGTGTCTTCTTTACCCGTCCTCCTAACTGTGTTCTAAGTTCGTTTTACTCCCTTGAATTTTCAACTTTAAAATTTTCAGTTCTCCAAGAACTTCACCATTGTTTTGTTTCACTATGATGGTCGGACTAGTGAGTGGGACCAGTTTGAGTGGTCCAAGCGGGCGATCCATATAAGTGCTCCGAAGCAATCTAAATGGTTGGTCCTGTTTTCTTTATTTTGTTTCATTGTTTTGCTACAAGCTCTTACCAGGCCTTTTTCATTACGTTTCGATTTCTGACAAACATCCTGAAATTTGATTCAAGGTGGTTTGCTAAACGCTTTCTGCATCCTGACATCGTGGCACCCTATGACTACGTCTTCATTTGGGACGAGGATCTTGGCGTGGAGCATTTTGATGCAGAGGAGTAAGCATCAAAACCATAAACATTTAGTGGAATTAAGGGTGCATTGAAATTTTTTCAACTCGACCTCTCCATTCCAGGTACTTGAAATTAGTTAGGAAACATGGTTTGGAGGTTTCACAGCCTGGTCTTGATTCGGATAGAGATATTACATGGCAGATGACAAAGAGAAGAGATGATAGCGAAGTCCACAAGTTAGTGGGACCTTTCTAACATGCTCCTATTTCTAGCCTGTCAAACATGTAATCATGGCTGATTATACTTTTATAATTATTCCTTCTTGCAGGAATGCTGAGGAGAGAGATGGTTGGTGTCCTGATCCGCATTTGCCACCTTGTGCTGCGTATGTGAACATAATCTTACAGGCTTTAGTTCTTATTGACCTTAACCAGTCTTCCTGTTTCTGCATACCTGAGGCTGACAATGATTTTTGAAATACTCAGATTTGTTGAAATCATGGCTCCTGTATTCTCCAGAGATGCATGGCGTTGTGTGTGGCATATGATACAGGTATAAAGAATGCATACTTACGTCCTTTGTAATATTTTCACTTCATATTCAATTTTTATCTCACTTGTTTTTGACCTCCTGCATTGTAGAATGACCTAATTCATGGATGGGGTCTAGATTTTGCTCTCAGAAGATGTGTGGACGTGAGTAGTTTGCCTGCCTTTATTTTTTCCTTAAAAAAAAATATTCTTATTCCTATAACTAGGTATAATGAAATTATTTTGGTTTGAAACAGCCTCCCCATCAGAAAATAGGAGTAGTAGATACTCAGTGGATTGTTCATCAAGGCATTCCTTCGCTTGGGGATCAGGTAACGAAGCCTTCTGTTTTGGAATTTAAGGTTTTATATAGAGTCTTTTATAGCAGTCTTTGGTTTCTTGCGACAGGGGCAAGCACAGGGCGAGAAGGCTCCATGGGAAGGGGTCTGTGATGAACTTCTCTGTCTCATGTTTATCTTTAAACAATTAGCGTTAAATTTACATTCAAATGTGGAAGATTGATGTATAGTTTTCACTTGCATCAGGTGAGAGCGAGGTGCCATGCAGAATGGGAAATGTTCAGAGACAGAATGGGTAATGCAGAGACGGCCTATTTTCAGGCACTACAAAGCGGTTCCTCTAACTCCTCGGCTAGTTAGGGTCATGCACTGATGTCTTAGCCAAAAAAGCGAGTTTAGCTTTTTAGAATTTCTACAAGCTAGTCATTTTGACCTAGTAGCTTGAGCTATATTGTTAGGGATTCCTTAGTGCATTCCTTTATGATGATAGGAAACTATATATATATATATATATATATTATGCTAATGATATCATTTTTAGAGTGTCATGTAAATCCTCCAAAGCTACAATTGTTACATTCTTATGATACGTGGCGTTCAAATCAACCCCTCTAGTCTCTGAAAAAACTCCACTTCAGCTCCTAAAAGTAAGGACAGGAGGGAATATCGTAACCGGGGGGGTGGGGGGAAGCCAAAACGACTTCTTAAAAAAAAAAAAAAACGAAAGAAAATGTCGCAACGACGATCCGCCCAGAGCGTCGAATGCAAAATAAGAGCATAAATACCAATTCCCGCGCTCCCGTATTTTTGAACTCCTCATTCTCTACCTCCACTCCTGGAACTTGGAATCTTGCTATACAATTGTCTGGTATGGGTTCGGCCCCACAATATCAGGAAGATGAGGACTGGGAGCTCTATAACGACGATGGCTTTGTGTTCAAGCGCAAGAAGCGACATCTTGACCCCACAGTAACTGTGCCTCATCCATCCTCCACTTCAGACGCGGATCAGTTTCAGGAGGCAGCGCAGAAGCAGCGGAGAGAGCGTAAGAGGAATACCCTCCTGAAGCTGAAAACTAGGTACCTCTCAGAGATCCATCTCTGGGATTTCTTGTCCGCCACATTGCGCTCACTGGAAGAGACCGCCCTTGAGTATAGAAGGCAACAAGAGCAGGCGAGGCCCTTAGCGTTAGATTCTGTTGGTGAATCTGTGCTAGATGACGTTCTCTTGCAGGTAATCATACTCTTTCACCGTGGATGCGTTATTCTAAGTTGTCATCTTACTAGTTCTGAAATTGTTGCTATGAGGGAGAATTGGAAATTGGGGCTTTACATTTGCAATTTTCAGGAGGCGAACTAGCTAGGATTTGGATTTTTTTTTTTCCTCCTGTCCGAAACACTCTAGTGAAGAAATTTCTTAGCTGTTGATTATTGGGAGCGCCGATTTCCGGTGATAGGTTGAAGAATATATCAGCTGCGCAATCTTGATTATTACCTTAGCTGTCATCTTTCGAAACTACTTTAGTTATCTAAGTTGCCAATTTCTATGGCCCTAAAATAATCACAATTCATAACTCTATCTTGCTTATGATCCCACTGCCTGTTCGTCCACTGATCCCATCACTTTCTTTTCCTTTTTCTTTTGATTTATATTTGCCTTTGGTGATTTAATTAACCCAGCGCCTGTACTGTAGCAAGAGAAATGCCAAGGCACTATGCCAGGTGCTCTATTATTAACTTTGAGAGCTCGAGTGTAGTGCGCAAATATATTTTCTAATTATAGTTGGAGGGAAATTTATCTCAAGCTACATGCAGAGATCACATTATGATAGACTTGCAAGTAACAACTCTCTCACCATACAGGTGCAAGCCCAAGAAGCGATAATTCATAATATATCAAATTTATGCGACGTAGCGGAAGCAATATGCCACAAACAAGAGCAACAGTTTAAACAGACAGTGTTTAATCTTCCCATCTGGGCTTCACCAGTTGAGCTCATGGAATTGCTATGCTTATGTGATGATTAAATTAGTACTTTTACCGTGCTGGATCCTCTTGGTAATGATTGAGAATCTGAGAGATCGGCCTTCTACTGTTAACAAGATCTTGATCAGTTTCGTTATTTCTATTTTCTGATATGATCATACTCTGCACTGAGTTAATGTGGGGGCTCACCACTGTGCCAGAGTAGTAAATATTGTTAGTTTGATTACACCTTAGACGAACACTGGAGTGACCATCTGATGGATGGAAAGTAGGCAACGGTGAACTCCTCGGAAGGATGAGAAGAAAGTTTCTCTGAAGCCTTCAAGGAAGAACAAAGATTTAATTCTGTAGTATTGTATAGGTAACTTACAGGCAAGGCTGTCATTTCTCATTGTATATTGTCACGTTACTAACTTTTAGGCTTGCCTGTCAGTTCTCATTGCTTTTACTTGTGCAAGTAATGAAATACTCCTTCTGTTTTCATTTATAAAAAAAAAATTATTTTTTTATTTTTTTAAATAACCAAAATTACTTTCGAAATTGTCTCATCAGGCTTGAAATTTTTCAAAAGTAATGAATGTTAGTTTTAAAAAAATTTCTTTCGAAAGAATTTTTATTTTAAAATATTGAGTATTTAATTTTAAAATAAATAAGGAAAAGCCATCACCACCCAACTCATTTAGCATTTCCTTATAATTAGATCGTTACATTCTAGTTTGTTCAATTTCTTCGTCTCTACTTTAAATCCTCCAACATATTGTAGATGATGCTATGCATTTTACTTCTAATATCCATGCAATAAAATTCCCTTCTGCATTTGCATTTGGCTAAACCTTATTTCATTCATTTGTAGCTTGCATTTTGGGAGGAAATTGTGATAAAGAGTTTCGAGATACTCACAATCACTGTAAGTCCTGTTTGTGTCTGAAAAAAAAAACATTGAGATCGTTTGTTTTAATTTACCCTTAATCTAGCCTTTCCTATAGGAAAGAGAGATCCACACTTGCACATAACACCTGATAGTATTGGGTTCTGTTCATGGTGAACAACAAATATTAAGTGTGTAAGAGATGTTGAGTTTCAGTTGATAACAAAAGGGTCTCGAGCTCCCTTATCACAGTTTACTCAGATATAAAAGATATAAGACTTTAATAGAATAAATATTTGATTTTATTGAAATGCAGAAAAGTTACAAGTCTAAACTAAAAGATTAACTGATAAATTAAAAGGATAAAAAGTATAAAATGCGAGTCTTTGATTCAATGTTAACTAGTTTATTTCATATTTTCATCTTCTATTTATAGTGTTAAAATGATGGTGGTCTCTTCCTTAAGACTTAACACATTTTGTCGAAAATTTAGGAATTTTGCAAAACTTGTGGCATGGTCTTTATTCCATACTCTCCATTTTAATAATCAGCCCGTTTTATTAAGATATTTGAGCATGAAGCCCGTAAATTTTGGCATTACTTGAAATTGTGTCTTTCGTGCCAACAGTCTAATATTTACAATTGATGGAATTTTGATATGTTTATTTATTGTGACCTTTATTGAGTATTGAGGCCGGCTTCTTTTGTTTATATTAGGCTTGACGCTTCAGTCACTCAACCGAATTAGTCCTGTAATCTATTTGAGCAACGTTTCATATTTTAATCCAAACATGTTTGAACCAAAATATCCTTCAAAAAGAGGAAAATTTTGCCACTAAAATAATTGACCATTGATAACATTGAGATCAATTGATCTCTAGCACACTTAGCATAGATCCAAAAATATGGCAAACATGAGTGTAATTTTGTATGATAAGTTTGACCCACACACATCATGACATCTATCATAATGACTCTTTAAAAAAAAAAAAACGAGATCCCTTATCATGCACTGTTTTTGCGTGAACATGTGAAAGTGCATGTCTAAGTATGGTACGGATAACTATAAGATTTGAATAACTCAAATTTCACATGTTATATGACTTAATTGTTGTTAATACACGAAAACCACCAAAGGACACACAATTTCACTGATTAATTTGGTGGGTTTAGAATTAGATCCGTTTATTTGGTGGGGTGTTAACATTATTAATCAGCATATTTTCTCATCCCTCTCTCATTATGTGCACAAGTGGAGAATGCTGAAAATTAAATCAATCATTGAATTAGTTAAGATATTAGTTAAAAAATTTATGATTAAAATTGTAATCAAATTGGTTATTACAAAATATTTTATTGAACCAATTAGGACATTAATTCAATGATCTATTGATTCAATACACTAGATTGACACAAATTTTAATATCATGGATTTATGACCCCTCTACCATTTCATATGGCTTAGAAAAACAGCCCGCCTCAACTGATCAAATAAATAAACGTTCATATATCATACATTATTTCCAAACCTTAACATTCCTCTTCCTTTTTGCATATCATTAAAGTATTGTGAGCTTTTTATTACATGAAAAGTAAGCTGCATAGCTTATAACTTGTGAACAGTGAGTCTTATTGTGAATTTTTATAAGTATTGATGATATAATCACAACAGGAAATGATTCATATTTAAATAAGGCTTAATATATAATTTACATTTTAAATTGTAAGTTTATGGACAATTTAAATCTTAAACTTATATTTGATATATTTTAAATTTTAAATAATTAAATTCAAGGCAGTGTCACTCCATCATTAAATTAAAACAAAAGTTTATTACTTTTTTGTAAAAATAGAGCCCAATATGCAATTTTTTTAAAGCAGTGTATGAGTCAAAAAATTGCACATTGGACATCATTTTTTTTAAAAAAATAATGGATATTTATTTTAATTTAATGATTCATGGTTGGAATGAAATTACTTCAAGTTTAATTATTTAAAATTTAAAATGTTCGAGTTGAAAATTTAAATTACTCCTGAACATATAATTTGAGATTTAAATTGTACATTGACGTTTTAAATTAAAGCTTCAATTATCATTTCAATTATTAAACTGCGAGACTTCTTCTTTTAATCTTAATGTTGGCCCTCAATAATTGCAGAAGAAGTTAAATTGTTGTAGCAGGTGGAAAAATTCTTACTATATATATATATATATATATATATTTTACTATTAGTGATTCAGAAAATAGTAGACATGTATGTATAGTTTTTGACAGATAAATATTTTTTTTTTCGACGACAGATAGATTCATAGATATTTTATACATACAGTAATTAATGATTTGATTAAATAGTTGGTGCAATTTATAAAATATTAAAACAAGAAGGAAAATTGATGGGACACATTTGAAGTGCAATTTATTTATTTAATATTTATTACCTTATAAGTAAGGCTACCGACAGGGTATGGAGATTCCATGAGGTCAACGGTCTCAACAATTATGTCATACCCTTTCTCTCAAAAATTTAGTAATTTACCTCAGCTTTTCTCATGCTAAAATGAAAAAAAAAATCATTTTCGAACGAATGAAATCACATTTTCTTACCTAAACCCATTTTTTAATTGAGCAAAACATAACTATATATGCCTAAGGTTTTTTTTCCCCCCTTAAAAAAAGGGCAAGTAAATCACATGTCAATATTTTTCAGATTTCAAAATTTTTAATAAATACTGGGCATTATTCATATTCAGTTCATATTTTCTCACATAACTTTAGTACTATAATAATTAATTATGCTTTAAAAATTACAAATTACCCAAAAACTAATATTTTGTTTGTTATATATATATATATATATATTGGTTCCATGTGAAGAGACGTCCGCGGAATTTGACCAACTTTGGTGTCTTTCTCCCGAATTTTTTACCATTGTTCCCCCCCCCCCAAAAAAAAACAGCGACCGAAATTTTTTACCACTTGCGTCAACCCGTTCAACTAAAAATAAAAAAGTTTTCAGTACCACGAAAGATTAACCCACTTTCGTGAATCACCCACCAATCACTTTCGAGTTTAAAATTGCAATTGAAGATGATTGACCAACCTATCATTCAGTCATCAATTATACGGGCAATTATTGACACAGGTTTATAGCCGATCATTCTCTTTATTCATGGCATCTGAAATTTCCCTCAAAAACAGTACTCTGGTTAATTTTTTTCATCAATTCTTAATTCCATAACTAAGCTCAGTGCACACTGTTTCTGACAGAGGCTCAATTCCTCCCGGGGCCACGCTATGTTACTTTAACAATAACAAAACGAAGACAAGAGTGGAAATTCAATACGCGGAAGAAGAAGATTGCATTTTGGAAAAGAAAAGGAAATAAAAAGGAAGCCTTTAGCCCACCACATATCTATCTTCCAACTTTTTCCAACTCTCAATCTGGGTCGTTGGTATTTGGTGTCTCTTTCAACCTTCCATACAAGCTCTCCTTCGCCCTTATCTCTTTCCTCGATTGCTCTCTGTCCAATTTTTTTTTTTTTTTTTCGTATCCTGCTGCTGCTGACAGAGCCTGTTGGATCTTTGATTTGTTTTTAATGCTTATTCTAAGTTCTGGGTTTGTTGGTGAGTGCCTCTAAGCATGTGGGTTTTTATTCTCTGCCTTCCTAACTAGGGCACATGTTGATAATTTTTAATATTCTAAGGGCGTGATTTTGGGGATAGGTCTTACTGGCCCTATAGGGAAAGCTGCCCTGGGTACGAACTTGTACATTTCTCTTGTCAAACCAAAAATGATGGCTTCCTTACATTATCATGGAGCTCCAATTGATTTTTCCTAGTCTCGAATTGTTAGTCTGCTTCATGCGTGTAATGCAGAGACGGGTATGCTCTGTTTGTTATAAGTGTGTGTAGTGTGTTGCTTGCTAGTTCACATCTTCTCGAGGGAATCAAATGGGATCTGGCAATGAGGTTCACTCGATTGGTGAGTTCAATTTAGATGCTCAATGGTTGATAGATCCCAAGCAATTATTTGTTGGGCCAAAGATTGGGGAAGGTGCACATGCCAAAGTGTACGAAGGAAAGTAAGTCAAACTCAATTGTTTGATTTTCGTTTCTGTTTGAGCACTCAAATTTGGTTTTTGATTCCCTCTGTCATGAAATTTTTCCCTTCTTGTTCTTCAGAATCGTCTCGGAATTTGTTTTGATTTATAAGCCAGTCATATCTTGCTTATTCTTTTGCGTCTACCATTATTCTTATCTAGATTTAAAACAATCGTATCATAGTCACAGCTTGTACGGCATATCTTATACGTATTCTGCATCCTCATGATCTGATTATTTTCTGGTTTGGTGCCTTATTGTTGCGGGTTTTCTTGATTGCAGATATAAAAATCAGAATGTTGCAGTTAAGATTATTAATAAGGGAGAAACCCCAGAAGAGATCTCAAGGAGAGAGGCTCGTTTTGCCAGAGAGGTTGCCATGTTATCGAGAGTTCAACACAAAAATCTGGTTAAGGTTGTTGATC